GAATGTTGCTACAAAGAAATGGAAAGTTCACAATTGGGAAGCTGAAATCATCTCTTTTGTCATTAAGTTTTATTTTCAACCGGTCTACATTGTCAATTTCTAGATGTTAGTCAACATATGAGGCAGACTTAACTGTATCTGTTGTATCCTTTATCTCAAGCTCGATGGAAAAAGATGGGTTAAACATAGTCACCAATGTTTTTATTATTTAGAGAGAGAACATTATCTGTATAGAGGAAGGTAAAGTTAAAAAATACTGCTAACTTCTTTTCTTTCTTCCTAAGAGGTTCCTGTATGAAGTAAGCCTCATAAGAATAAAGGAACCAGTCAGCAAGAAGATGGGCACAGTTGGAATTGTATGGATTTCCTTCCCACTTTTTATCTCGATCAGTGACTTCGGGATACTAGAAGATGATATGTTTGCATTATCTAAGTTTAGGTAAATTACGTTTGTAGAAAAAAAATACCTATTATTGTATATCAAAAATTTTCGTTCGCATATTCGAATTAATGTTTTGTTTTCTGTCTTGTCATTTAACATTTTTCTGTAATGGCGTTTTAAGTTTGTTTGCAATGTATTGATATGCCTATTTTTTGGTTTCCTTTGCCTCTTTATTGGGAAATTTAAAGTAAAACTAAGCAGAGAACAACTGTAGAATGATTTTGAAATTCGATCCGTTTGATTAAAGAAATACGTGGAAGAGGGAGATGCTGATGAAAATGGAAAATGAAAACAAGTAGAGAATAATCAGATTTTAGAAAATGTTCTCAATTTTGTTTCAATTTTTTGTTACCCAAAAGAAATATCAGGTTTTTGAAATTAAATGAGTAAATTGTAAGCAAAGATTCGCTAATGTAACTATCACTTGAAAATATATTTATAAATCTTTACCTATGTAGCTAGCATCCAATTTTGCGTTTGAATAAAAAGAAATCAGTTAAGGGTCTTACTGTCCTCAGGAATTAATATGTCATTCGTTTTTGTCGACACCGTTATTTTTAAAATAATCAGATATTGTCCATTCATTTTTTTTTATTTCCTTGTATTTAGTTCCAAAGGTCAAACAATTGATTATTTCCGTGATTCAATTTTTCTAACTAGCTTCATTTATTTTATGTATGCGTTGATTGATCGACATATTATATTTTCGAGAAAATCACCAAGTACATATAAATAGTTTGCTAAACTAGAACAGTATAATCTAGTAAAAAAAACAATTACAACTAATGCATAAGACACATCTTCTTCCAGACTAAAGTATGTTGCATGAATATATTTTCATGCTCAGCCCAGAACAATAATTTCCTGGACTGGAACGTTTTATTGTTAGCAATAAACAAATTGAATGCTAAATGATATTGATGATAATTTATATCCATTAAAAAATCCTTGTTGTGCGTTTGTTTTTTCTACATTGGCTAGAGGTATAGAGGTATAGGGGAGGGTTGAGATCTCAAAAAACATGTTTAACCCCGCCGCATTTTTGCGCCTGTCCCAAGTCAGGAGCCTCTGGCCTTTGTTAGTCTTGTATCATTTTTAATTTTAGTTTCCTGTGTATAATTCGGAGTTTAGTATGACGTCCATTATCACTGAACTAGTATACATATTTGTTTAGGGGCCAGCTGAAGGACGCCTTCGGGTGCGGGAGTTTCTCGCTGCATTGAGGACCCATTGGTGGCCTTCGGCTGTTGTCTGCTTTATGATCGGGTTGTTGTCTCTTTGACACATTCCCCATTTCCATTCTCAATTTTATTTTTTTTTAAAGTAAATTTAGAAAGGTATCCTCTGCAAACGCCTTATTTGACTATTATTATCGGGTTTGTTTTTTATCGTTTTGTTTTCTTCTGGTTCACATTATCATGATTAAATGCTGTTTATCTTTTCACAAATGCAGAGAGCGCTTTAAAAAAATTATTCATCAGACGAATCTATATTTATGGTAACAAGCCGACCGGGTTTGTGTAAAAAATCGTCGTTGTAGGACTCTTTGCATGAAAAATGAGTGTCTTTTTCTTTGTTTTGTTTTCACACAATGGCTCCAACTGATGAGGTCAGTAGTCTTCATTTTGTTATTAATCGGGCAAAGTGATATCATGACCGTCTATAGTGTAATTGTACAGAAAAATGAGCGACATCGTCCATTTTGAGACATTTTCTCAGCTGGAAACCCGTGATCGGTATCTAATCAATAAACTGTTAACACAGAGATATGTCTCGCCTTTTTGAAATTTTGATAATGCAAATGTTATTTTAAAAGAGCAATACTTAAACATATAAGTTATGCAAATATTCAATGTCAATGAACCATGACTGACGGTGCATGGTTAAACAACCTCAATTGAAATGAGATGTGCCAATGCTAATATATCTGCACACCAAATACCTTTGACTTATCATAATTCGTTCCCTTTATTCAAACCTAAACACAAACATTAACTTGTAAACTATGAAAAAGTTTCAATGTCAATGGACCATGATGAGGGGGTGGGGCTATAAAATCTGGAAACTAGACTTGCAAATGCCAATAAATTTTCCCACCAAATATCATTGACTTGACATTAGCGGTTCATCTTAAACTGATCTAATCACTTACTAATACATGCAAACTAATCAAAAGTATTAAAGTCAATAGACCATGTCTGAGGGGGCGGGGCCAAATATTCTCCATGGAAATGAGGTGTGCTAGTCTTTATACAACTTCATACCAATCAACATTGTCCTACCACTAATGGTTCCCCTAGAACTGACTTAGTCACGACTAATACATGTAAACTAGGCAAAAGTTTAAAAGTCAATAGACCATTACTGAGAGGGCGTACCAAATAATCTCCATGGAAATGAGTCATGCCAATGCTTGTACGGCTGCATTCTAAATATTATTGACCTACCACTAGTGGTTCCCAATAAACTTACCCTATCACAAACTTATACATGAAAACTAATAAAAAGTTTCAAAGTCAATAGACCATGAGTGAGGGGATAGAGCCAAATAATCTTCGTGGGAATAAGATGTGCCAATGCTTATACAACTACATACAAATTATCATTGACCTACAACAAGTTGTTCACCGTAAACTATACCTAATCACAAACTAATACAATTGTCGCCGCCGAACAACGGAAACAACATTCCTATGTCTCGCTTTGTGACTCCGTCAAGGAGAGACATAAATCATTGATTATGACAAGCGCTGGATACTTTGACCTAACAAAATGCCTTTTGTGCTGTTGCATCTCGAGATAAAATACGATTTTTTTCTTTTTAATTGTGCGTTCATTTATAAATGATGAAATGATAACAATAACCAGGGCCTGCAGTTAAACTCATGAATAACAAATGCCATTGGATGCAACAAAATCGAATCACACCATTACACTATGGCAACTTCCATAATGTTTGACTTCAAAATTAAGGCGAATCAATCAAGGTTTATTTGGATACCACAAACTGTCAATTTAAAAAAAAATTGAGGTTCTTGAATATTCTAAGTATTAAAGGTAAAGTTCATTGAAATAATTCTTCACCTAACTAAATAATCTTTGACGCCATGTTAGCCCTTTGGTATCTTACGAGTCCCTTGTGAAACGAGTAAAATACAACAACAAATCAAAGTGCTTGTAGCTACTGCAGAGTAAAGATTGCTTTAATTTATCACTTGGAAATGAAATCAAATATTGCATTGTATTAACCATTAGTACATTAGTTATTGTTGATTAAACTACAATCAATTCTGGATAAAGGAATATTTATAAAGATGACTTTAACAATGCCATCATTGATATTTTTTATCAGATATTAGATTCCTGCACCTTGCAAAAGGTATGCAATTTTCGTCATTTTGTGACTTGAATATCTGAGCATGTATTACATTGATAAATTTCTGGACATTTTAGTGGATAGGATGTATAAAAAGAATATTATCATTAATGCACTATATTTTGTGTATCTAAAAGGTAGTGATAAATCTTGGAAGATATAGATATCAAGTCAGTACCACAGGGTTTATGGTTCCATATTATGCAATCTCTATCCCCCCAAAGACAAACGATTATAACAATGAGTACTATGTGTTATCAAGGAAAATAAAACCTTTTTTTAAAGAAAATTAAGGGACATACCTTTTAAATTTAACTGCAAAAAATAATACATTATGGTTGATAGCTATTTGGATCTTCAAAACAAGTACATGTGTTATCATTCAATTGATATAATTCATAATTTGAAAGAAAATTCTAGTAAATTACAAATAAAACTTTTAAAACATTGCATGTTTTTTTTTATTCACATCTATCAGCATACTTCAGAGATAATCATTTCAATGGCCTCCAGTAACATAATGTGCACAATAAGTTTGTATCTTATAACCATCATAATGTTTTCTTGCATTTATTTTTGTTTTGTCTGGAAATTCTATAATTTGATACATGTTCTAATTTATTCAGAATCCATTCAGTTGGCGTGCATTTACTTTTACTATTCAATTATAGGTGTTTAACTCAGAAATAGTAAATTAAATAGGCACTTTATATTATAGTCTTGTTTTGAAATCTTATGGCAAAGTGGTACTTAAACTGTCATACAGAACTAATAGTATGACGAATGGACAGAAAAGCTATATATTTACCATTTTTTCTTTAAATGACCTGTACCAAGTCAGGTGTATGGCAATGGTTATCAAATATATAGTCCATTTCTATGTATGTTGGCGTTTGTTTTTGTTGCAGTTCAGTATTTCTGTTTCCTCTTATAGTTGATGTGTTTCCCTAAGTTTTAATTTGTAACCTTGATTTGTTTTTGCTTAATCGATTTATGACTATTGAACAGTGATACTCTACACTACTATTGCCTTTATTTAGACAGAAACATACAAATTGGTGAAATTTTCTGTTATTTTAAGAACATGACCGAGATGTAAAAACTGTGTATTTTGAGTGAAGAATTTACACTTGTTTGTCAATACAAGGTCAATGTATCTAAAATAAGATATTGAAACGAAAATAGCAAATTGATTTAAATAATAAGAGATAAAAATAATCAATGACACTAAAACAAGATTCACAGCTTATACCAATTATTTTTCATCATCTAAAATAAATCAATAAAACATGATATAAAATTAGAAACTAAAAATGGACATTATGTAAAATATGAATACAAAAAATCTATCTCTAATTGATCATGTTGATAAGTTTTCACCAATTACATAATGAACCATTTTTGTTTTGGGTTTGTAATGAAGTTTCATAACTATCGTTTAAATGATTATTATGTGATGTAAGGTACATCACACTAGAAAAACATAGTTTGGATAAACAATGCTTAAATATCTATGCAGATATTCATGCAGTCCGCTTTATATGTAATTCTTTTCACAAGTATCAAAGCAGTTTATAGACTTGAGAATTGTCTTTAGTTGCGTCAAATGTTGACAAATCAATTTTGACTCATTTTAACTTTACTGTAAATTCCGAAATTATTGCGATGTTTTTATTATTGCGAAAAATGTGACAGGGTTATAATCGCAATAATTTAAACTCTCATTTTGAAATATTTTATATGAATTAAACAGGATTTTTCTCAATATCGCAAAAATTAAAATCGCATTTTAGTCTAAAATTACGAAATTGCAATAACAAATGCACGCAATAATTTCTGAATTTACAGTAGATAGTTTTTACTGAAATAAAATTGAGTTGTTTACAAAAGAAATGATTCTGGCTAAAATGGTTCAAATAAAACTGATATGCTGTATTACAAAAAAAAAAATTTGTAAGGGTTCAGCAGAACCCAGTGTCTCGCCTACTTTTGCTGTTAGTCACAGGCTCAACAAAAATGGGGAAAAAATTATTAAAAATTTTCCTCTAGATACTATCTTTTGATTGTAGAAGTTCTGTTCAAGTTTGGTAAAAATCCAAGAAGGTTTATGAATCTAATAAATGTTTTAAAAACTTTAACTGCAGACTGTACGTAATATTAACCGGAACAAGAGTGCACACTCGGAAATGTCTTGCCTTCTTTATTAATCATTGATATTATGTTGATATGGACTTGACCACCAAAACTTAACCTTGCCCACTGATCCATGAAATGAGGTCGAGGTCAAGTGAAAACTGTCTGACGGGCATGAGGACCTTGTAAGGTATGCACATAGCAAATATAGTTATCCTATTACTTATAATAAGAGAGAATTTAACTTTACAAAAAATCTGAAATTTTTTTTCAAGTAGTCGCTGAACCATGAAAATGAGGTCAAGGACATTGGACATGTGACTGACGGAAACTTCGTAACATGAGGCATCTATATACAAAGTATGAAGCATCCAGGTCTTCCACCTTCTAAAATATAAAACTTTTAAAAAGTTAGCTAACGCCACCGCCGGATCACTATCCCTATGTCGAGCTTTCTGCAACAAAAGTCGCAGGCTTGACAATAAAACTAAGTCCATTTAAAAGTAATATACAGAAAAACAGGAAATACATTTTTACAAAATTTCCTTCTAGATACTAGCTTTTGATCATAAACAAGCTTCTGTCCAAGTGTGGTACAAATCCAGGATAGTTTAAGAAAGTTATTAAAATTTGAAAAACTTTAACCACAGAGTGAATGTTATGTTAACTGGCAGAAAAACTAAGTCCATACATGAGTAAAATACAGATAAACAGGATTTTTTTTTTTACAAAATTTTCTTCTGGATACTATCTTATGATCATGATGATCATAAACAAGCTTCTGTCCAAGTTTGGTTGAAATGCAGGATAGTTTAAGAAAGTTATTAAAATTTCAAAAACTTTAACCACAGAGTGAATATTTGTGGACACCGCCGAAGACAACGCCGACGGAATGTAGGATCGCTATGTCTCGCCGTTGCAACAAAAGTCGCAGGCTCGACAAAAATGATTAATATATGCATTGTTGTTGATGTATTGTGTACAAATATTTTCATTCAAGGTGTTCAGTCAACCTAATGTACATATTAAGACCTATTGTGAGTATGTATTTCTAAACCTAGCCTAGACCTTTTCAAAATGATATGCAGTTGAGGGCTTGGTAAATTTAGCTATTACCCAGATCTCACTGGCCAGTACAATCAAATGAAAAGTAATATTAAGAAGCTTGTCCCTACTTTTAAAATTAATCCTTCATTATGTTTGTGTCAGAGCTATCAGACAAAACTTACTATACATGTGATGGACATTTGAGAATTTGGGGTTCTTTTTTAGCTTAGATCCTGCTTTTAGATGGGAGACAATCCATATTAAATCTTGTTTGAACGTGCTGTACATAAGAAAATTATGAGTAAAGTTTAAAGTAAGGATGTCTCTAATGTATGGAAATAAAAATCTGTACATAATTCAAATCTTTACGTCGTTAAAAGGCACAGTTGTCTTTGTCTCATTTAATATCTAATTATGAGTTTATTTTCAACATTGCTCAAAACAAAAATTCTTTTCTGTTTCTTGTAAATCATAAGCAGAAATGCTGAGTATTCAAACAAATGACAATTTGATTTTCATTTAAAAAAAATAACATTGTGTGCCATGTGGTTTAACAGAACAGTATTTATACATTTGTTCTCAGTATATAAAGTGTTAATACTGCACACATGTGCTTTGCCTTAAAGAGTATATTAAATTGTAAGGTTCATAGGAATTTTCCCATAATCTTAATGTTCACTAGCACTGGATAAACTTCTACTTGATATATATATATATATAGCTTCACTTGTATTGTCAATGTCATTTTTTCTTCCATTCTGGTTTTTTACCATCACATTATCTATATCTACTGGATGGTAAGTCTGTTGCTCAGGCGAAATGGGGTTCTGATCTTCTACCCCTTCTTCTTCATAGCATACCTCTTGATGCTCTTGTTGGATGGTAATATTCCTCCTTTGCAGACAGATGCAAAAGCAGAAAATGGTAAAAGCAACCCTGACAAGTAGTCCACCAATGCAATCTAACTGCTGGATATTTGCCAGTAAATGTTCAATGAATGACAGGATTGTTTTCTGAAACCAAACAGTGAGATGGGAAAATTATTCAAATGCATCATTTTTTTTTTCTTTTCTAATCCCATTAATTTTGTTGAATGTTTTACATCTTACAAAAGATAAGCTACAATTTACTTTACCTCGTAATGATAAAATATTACATGCTGTGAATACAGAAAGTATAATCACTGCTTAGCAATCTTCTGAACAGCCCATGTCAATTGCTTGCTAAAATATTGTAAATTCAGAAATTATTGTAAGGGTTTAAAGGGAATAATGCAACTTGTTGTGTTTCACAATAATATAAAAAAAACTCAGTTTCTGATAACTGATTCAAATATTTGTATGCAGATTTTCCAGAATTTCAAAAATTAATCTTGCATTTTTGTCCCTTTCCCAAAAACATATTATGAATGCACAAACTTATTTCTGAATTAACAGTATTGTCATAGTTGTGACATTGTTGAATCTGTTTGATGATTTCGTCAAATAACATTTTCCAAATACATTACCAAATTTATTGCTGCATAAAGCATTCCATAACATCACTAGTAAATGAATTTTAGTCTTAAACATTCATTTTGATCTAAACATCATATGCATTGTCTGAAAAATTAACCATTGGTCATGTTCAGTATTTCAGTACATTTTCATAAATCCAGTGCAAAAAATTCAGTATTTTTCTGATAAATTGCTTGCAGTCAATTCAATACTCAAGTCATCACACTTCAGAATTTAAGGGAGAAGTGACTTCTTCCTGGCAGCTTAAATTGAAGGATCTAATTAATGCTTTATATGAATTAAATGTTGTAGCATCTACATCATCTTGTTATTTTTAGGAGTCTTTAATTTGCTTGACAATTGTTAACATGACATACCTTGTGTTCTGAATGAATGAATTGAAAAACAATACATTGATCAAATTTTGCTGCATCTCAAAGCCTTTTTCAAACCAAGCCAAAATTGAGCTAAATGAAATAACTCAAGCAAAAACATAGGACCCCCACCTTCCCTAAAAAATAAATAAAAATGATTTGGAGAAGAAAATAAGAACAAAGAGAAGTAACTCCAATTGTTCAATAAAACTAGTATCTCATTTCCTGCGTCTTCTGGAAATTTTTATTTAGAGTTAAGTACTGCATTTAAATATTAATTTTAATTGGTCATGTTGTCATGATCCAAACAAAAAGAATTCCTAAGTCCAGGGTTTGACACTAACTAAATGTATGTACTAGCCTGCAGGGCTAGTGAAATTATTATTCTACTAGTCCTCTTCCCAATTCACTAGTCCTCCAAGTGCCGAAGGCACAGGCACGACCCTATCTAGGAGGGTCTGGGGGCATGCCCCCCCAGAAAATTTTGATACAAATGAAGCTAAATCCTGTGTTCTGGAGCATTTCAAGAGGGTTTTGAACATGTTTTGTTTCATGAAATTTCACTGGTTTGCTAATAAAAAATACCCCAAAAAAAAAATATTTTCATATTTTAATCATCTATATCAAGAATGTTTTCAACTTATTTTGAAGACCCCTTTAGATCATGACTTCATCATCATCCTCATTTTATTTATCATTATTACTAGTGTCTTTAATGAAGATGGATAAGTAAGGGATTTAAAATTACACCCACAAAAGAGGAAAGGTTTGCCCTTGATGTTTTTTTGTCATAATTCTTCATGGAGTCCTTCTTTTCCCTTGTTGTTTGTTAGTTTTTTTTTTTTTGCAGGACAATATTTTATTCCTAAAATCTGCATATTTTTACCAGAGACCAAGGATTTGTATAGTATACAAATCCTTGCAGAGACCTTTAATTTTGTATATAGGACAATAATTCAGTGATATTGTTTGCCTCAAATTACATTCGAAATACAGCTTTTCCCCCTAGAGGAAATTCCCAATTACTAAAAAAAAATGGCTTAAAATTCCTCCCAATAAGTTGTACATTTTTGCCAAACAGTGATGGTATCGGTAGTAATATATGTAAATTTCGTATTCATGTTATTATTTTGATATTATGAAAGCACTTTTGAGATCCAGGTTTCTGATAAGAATCATCACGGCGTTTGTAACACACGTGGTTTTCAATGTATTAAGTACCATCATTGTGTTCGTTTCTTTCCCCTCCCCAAAAAGTACCTTTCATGTTAAAAAATGTCTGACAGCAATCACAATATTCGTGAATAAACTGTACAATAAAGACTGCTAAGGTCAGGAAAAAATCTGGGATTTGTAGACAATTAAAATTTTGTGAAATTTCAAGTTTTAAACAAAATTTTGACTAGCCCGTCAAACTACTGTGATGAAAACTTTACTAGTCCTCCCTAATTTGTACTAGCCTCGGGCTAGCGGACTAGCGTTAGTGTCGAACCCTGCCTAAGTCTATTAATTTTATGTCTATAGATCTATAAGTAACCATATTAAATGTTAACCAGGAAGTCTCCATATGTTTAAATTATTTAAAATTAGACACTTATTAATCTCTTCAACAAAAGATTGAAAGCATAAATTATATTTAAGTTGTTACTGTAGTCGCATTTCTGTGTTTTTGTCTGATTTGGTGAATCTATAGTTGTCTTCCTGTTTTTATTATCAATGTTTCTTTTGATGAGTAAATGTGATATAAAGCTGTGTTGTTGTCAGACCTGATTTGATGAAAACAAATAGCTGTCTTTCTTTCTTTTTTAATACAAAGAGCATTTTACAACTAAATGTGGACTAAAGCAATTAATTCAATTATTTTACCTAGAAATATTCTAGTAATTTGCCCATGTCTAAGAATGTTTGTACCAACTGTCTTCTGTCTTCTTTTCTAAGAAGATTATATTCTTTGCTGTATGTCATTACTGCTCCTTTGTTCTGCAAATTTCCATTACATAAATTTGTATAATATCCATCCTCTGGTTTAAAAGATGTCAGCATCACCTGAAAAGAGAATATTATTTTCTTATCCGAACAGAACAACAAATAAACAAACTGTCCATACCAAAACACAATTTCAACTAAACAAGTTTAAAGTTCGCTCTCCAAACCTCATATTTTTCATACCCCTGCATAATGAAGTGGATGTATAGAGTAAACAAGATGTCCATCCATCCAACTGTTAATCAGTCCAGCAATTTCTCCTAAACCAGTGATAAGATTTCAACAAAACTTTCATGTTATCTTTATTACAAATTGTTTGGGCTAATATTACATTGGTATATGTGCATCTCCAATCCACATCCTCCAAAACTAGTAAAAGAGGGACGAAAGATACCAGAGGGAAGAAAGATACCAGGGGACGGTCAAACTCATAGATCGAAAAACAATCTGACAACACCATGGCCAAAAATAAAAAGACAAACAGACAAACAACAGTACAGATGACACAACATAGAAAACCAAAGACTAAGCAACACGAACCCCACCAAAAACTGGGGGTGATCTCAGGTGCTCCAGAAGGGTAAGAAGATCCTGTTTATGTTATTACAAATCCAGTAAATAGTCTAATTCGGTAGGTCACATTCGTGAAAAGGGAAGGGTAATGTAGTAACGACATAAGGAACATATCCAATATCATCTGTGAATCGGTTATTCCATAACGATCAACCAACTCGTGATGGCGTCCGTAAAATTTACGAAGGGATGATTTCAACTTCACCAATGGAGTAGTAAATGGATTTGATTATAACTTTCACAGAATCTTCATGACGTAATGCCACTGTGCAGCTCTTACTTTACTTTTTTTCAGAATTATTTCTTGGGTTTCAAAAAAAGGAGTGGGAATAATTTGGGATCATTTAGTACAAATTAAATGTAGTATGGGAGTTCAGGTATACATTGTATATTCAAGTTTTTCTACTGATTTTGATCTTTAACCTCAAAAATAAATATACTTCTCCCCCTTTCCTTTATCTCAAACTATATAAGTTTCATCCTAATCAATCAAGACAAAACTTTCTGTTTCATAATGGAGATGTCTCTATTTGTCGTGGGAAAAAAAATATGAGATGCGCATTGGTATTATGTTATGAAGATTTCCTGAAATTTGTTGAAATTAATTTTTTGGTTTAAGAGCACAGATAAATTATAGTGTGAACAATGCAGAGGACAATGCATGACTGTAAGGATCCCTTTGTGTCAACTCTGCTATGCAGGTGAAACAAAAACACAAGACAAAAGATATTTATGCCTGTATATATGTGACAACTATGTCATGTAGTCCACAAAGATTTATTTTCAAAACATTGCTTTGGTTGCTTTAGTTTTGTGAACTTCTATGAATGTTTTACATAGTAAACATGGTAAATAATATTTCAAAAACTTTATCTGTCAACTTTTGAAGTATTGATGATAATAATACAGCTACACCGCAGAAATGTGGCAGAATCTAAGATCTCAATATCTCCCCTTTGCAATTTCATCACATAATTATAATGCCTGCACGTAAAGCCTAATAGCTATATATAGATATATTAAGGTAGTTCAGGGGTACCGTAAATTGGGAAATTTTGGCGTCAGGATATTTTGGCAGTTTTCACTCAAAAGGCATGTGTTTTATTTTGGCGTGTGTAATTTTGGTGCTTCGTCCAATTGATGTGTTTAATTTTGGAACAAATAGAAGTGTGTGAGCTCATTCATATTTGCCCTTATTTACCCGTTTACATTTATTGACAAATCATCAATGACCTACACAAACTAGAAACACAACAAAGTTAACTAAATGAAGGAATCGGATACAAATGCAATTGCAAATATTTCCGTATCGTGGGGTTGAAAGCTAAAAGAAAGTGACTTTAAATAGATTATTTTTTACAAAAATCATATGAAATAAATTTTAATCATTATCTCAATTGCAGTACATGTTAATGATTGACGATCAAGGATTTAAATTTTAATCTTTATGCCTCTGGCAGTACACATTAATTAATAGAAGATAAAATAATACAAGGAGTTTTGATATTCTAATTGCCAATAACGGCGTCTAATCAGCAACAGCCTGGCATATTTATGACATGTGTGAATACAAATTCATATTGTGTTTTCTTAACAATTTCAGAAAATTGACAATTAAGTAAAAACCATATAGTGTTGTAGTCAAATTATGCCCGGTATTTATTTGCAGATTTGGCTATTTATAGAATTATAGGAAATCTACGGAAGTTAAATAGCATAAGATATTTTCCCCAATAATTAACATTTTATCGGTCTCAATTTTTAGTGTGTTTAATTTTGGCACTTTATTTGATGTAACCAATTAAACCAAAATAAAACTACAACCAAAATAACCCTTTATACGGTATATCGCCATCTTGAATTGTACAATCACAGTAAATAATCGGTCTAGTTCTTTGCCCTAATCTGCAAATTTGGAGACAGATTTGCAATTTATTGGTTACACTGCTTATTTATATAAAGAAAACTTAGTTTTTCATTGCATTATCGAAAATGTTTTAACAAATACCAAATATTTGTGCTTTTAGAATTAATTTTTCAAATACGCCATTTAAGGGGAGATAACTCTTTTAGTACAAAATTTATACTGGACATATAGGGAAATTTTCTTTTTTTACTTATAGCAAGAAAACAAGTGCAGTGACACCATTTTTCTTTTTATTTTCTTAAAATATATTATAAAACCTATCTTCACATACTTTATTTCAAAATTTTGTCTCATAGATTTCTTTTTATGCACAAAAATGTGTTTTTCATGAACAATCTAAGCAAATTTTGGCAATTTTGAACGACTCGTACCTTGAAAAATAGCGTGGTGACCCATACTTTTTATCATTTTTTTGAAAAAAGCATAGTAAAATCTTCATTTAGGCAAAGTATAAGAAAATTCTGTCATTTTTTTTCTATACCCCTGAACTACCTTAAGAAGATGTAGTATGAGTGCCAATGGGACAACTCTTAAAAAGTATCCATCCAAGTCACAATATGTTAAAGTAAACCATTATAGGTCAAAGTATGGTCTTCAACAAGGAGCCTTGGCTCACAACGAACCGCAAGCTATAAAGGACTTCAAAAATGACTAGTGTAAAACCATTCAAACGAAAACCAGCGGTCTAATCTATATAAAAAAAAAACAAGAAAAGAGAAACACTTATGAAACACATCAGCAAACACCAACCAGTCCTTTATTATAGTGCATAAAAAATTATCTAACATAAAAGTATAAGTTCTAAACTTTGGATTATAATCATCTTTGCACTTCAAATTCAGACTCAGTGGGGTGAACATTTTCATCATACATTGTACATGCCATGATCTGGCTATAGCTATAGGGACATTCAAATTTTTCAATGCTGTGCATTGTAGTGATAATTGCATTCACCTTGATTGGGTACCATCACACTTCAATATTATCTTTTTAAAGATTTCTATGACTTACATTTGTTCCTTGTACTAGGAATCCATACATTCCATGATTTCCAAAGACTGAGAATGGTAAAGTACATAGGAATTGTCCACCAAGTTGGCCTTTCAGGGAAGATCCAATGTGTTGGGCATAACATGCATTATTTGTACTTCTCAAATCACTGACATAATCATTGCCTTCATCTTCTCTGTACCCCTTCACCTGTGAATGGAAAAATAGATTAAATCCAACTGAAAGGGAAATTAAAGTGGTAGGAAAGTTCAGATGTAAAATAGGATTTATGATAAATACATGTACAAGAATTTTGTTTATATTCAAAATATCAACATTATGCTACAATTTGAGAAATGATTTTTCATTTCATATAAATATTGACTGTTAAACAAAATATTTTTTCTATTCTTTGATCTGTCAAATTGCGTGTTTGGTCCATCAAATACTGTGAGTGTGTGCAACAAAATACACAGAAAACGGTTAATTATTTTTTCACAATGTCTGAAATTGAGCTTACACTGGTTTTCTGAGACAGCTTACCTTATCTTAAGAGACTATTCTCCAGTCTGTGTACATGGTTTATGAAGACACTTATTAACATGAAAAATGCCATTTTGATTTCCTGCATTGTTTAATATACACAACTGACATTGCACTTTCAATTGTGATGTCAATCCCCGCCACATTATGTATGTATGTGCCTGTCCCAAGTCAGGAGCCTGTAATTCAGTGGTTGTCACTTGTTGCTGGGTTACATATTTGTTATTCATTCATTTTTGTGTACATTAATTAGGCTGTTAGTTTTCTTGTTTGAATTGTTTTACATTTGTCATTTCAGGGCTATAAAAGCTGACTACAGTGTATGTGATATGGGCTTTTCTCATTGTTGAAGGCCGTAAGGTGACCAATAGTTATTAATTTCTGTCTCATTTGGTCTCTTGTGAAAAGTTGTCTCATTGGTAATCATACCACATCTTCTTTTTTATATGTCCATTTAATGTATATAATATGTACAACAAAATGTATCAGTAATTTCTGCAGCAACATGAAAAATATAATAAAATTACAAGCTTATTTTTACCTTAATGACAGCACATATCTTATCCTCATTAACATCTGTAGGATGGCATATCAATCCATTTGGTAAGGCAACAATATCTCTGTCGTTTATGTGTGATGTGTATTTTTCAACATTGGAACCACTCCTACAAGAAATAATAGAATCAACAAGATGATATAGCTAAGAGATAACTCATTGACTGATTCCCACGTCACCTTTTTTCTCTAAACATGCTGATGTTCAGTAGTTGTCGTTTGTTGATGTGGTTCATAAGTGTTTTTCGGTTCTCGTTTTTTATTTTGATTAGACCGTTGGTTTTCCCGTTTGAATGGTTTTACACAAGTCATTTTTGGGACCCTTTATAGCTTTCTGTTCTGTGTGACCCAGAATTCCCTTTGTGATATGGAACCTTGTGGTACAATATGTCAGAGAGATCCATACACTAACACACAAGTTATGCCTGGAAGTTACAAAAATGATATTTTTGGCCCCTAATTCCTTAACTGTTGGTAACATAACCCCCAAAATCAATCCCAACCTTCCTTTTGTGGTATTGAACCTTATGGTAAAATTTCATAGAGATTCATTCACTTAAACTAAAGTTAGAGTGCGAAAACCAATGTGTCTTTGGACGACGACGATGTCATACCAATATACGAATAAAAAAAAATACACATATATATATCCATGTTATACTGTAAATAGATATAGGAAGATGTGGTATGAGTGCCAATGAGAAAACTCTCCATCCAAGTTACAATTTATAAAAGTAAACCATTATAGGTCAAGGTACGGCCTTCAACACGGAGCACTGGCTCACACTGAACAGCAAGCTATAAAGGGCCACAAAAATTACTAGTGTAAAACCATTCAAACGGGAAAACCAACAGTCTAATCTATATAAAAACGAGAAACACGTATGAACTACATAAACAGAAGACAACTACTGTACATCAGATTCCTATCTTAGGACAGGTGCAAACATTTGCAGCGGGATTATACATGTTATACTGTAAAGTCTGTTTACTATGTTACTGAATAATATGTTACTGTTTTAAATACTCAAACTTTCAAAAATATTTTTCTGAATCTGTTTGTTGAAACTGAATGAAAATACTACAGGTAATATGATTAATCTAAGTCAATACTTACAAAATATTTAAGCCAAATATTCTTGCAAATGAAACAAATAATTCTTGATACATTCCTTCAGATATTTCTCTTAAATCATTTCCTCTTCGTCTTCTAAGCATATAGATAAGCTGCCTTTTAAACATGTTAAGGTGCCTAGATAAATCTCTACAAATTCTACAATAAAAAACGAAAAAAATAAATAATAAGTTAGATTGATACAGGCATGTTGTTGTTTATTTTACGTTTTGGTCGGGTTGTTGTCTCTTTGACACATTCCCCATTTCCATTCCCTATTTTATGTATAGAATACATATCCCCCACCCGAGAAATAACGTAGGACTACATGCAGATATGAAATCTAATAAATCAGTTGTTTAACAGATAAGTTCTTTCTTACCGGGATTTAGCCAGGATTTTGAGATCATTTATCAGGTGTATAGTCACTTTTGCATATCACATGTACGGTACCATGCATTAATTATATATCATTATATGTTTTTAAGATGTATAAATATATATATCAAAATAATTATATTTTCATGAATAAAATTTTGTGAATTTTGTGGTTAGATGGTGAATTGTTAAATGTAAATAATTACATCTACAAAAAAAATTCTACATATATATATACATGTACAAAAAATGTATACAATGTACATGTATATTAATGACAACTATTAATAAGTACACAATGTATTTACAAAGCTAATTTCGTTGGTATTATTTTTTCAAATAAATGTGGATAGTGTCCACATGTGGACACAGATGATGCCCCCGCTTACATATCATATAGTTATAAAGGGACATAACTGAAGAACGGTAAAAGTGACGCTACCCAAATTTGAACTTGATCTGAGTTTTGTGGTAATAAGCATTGTGTGTAAGTCTCATAACATTTGGTAGACAATGGTAGAGGCTAACTTAAGTAGAGAACAGAAACTAAAATTCTGCAATTTTTCTATGTGTAAACATGGTAAACACGCATAACTCTAGAACGGTTGTGTATAAGTTTTATAACATTTGGTTGAGACAAACAAGTTAGAGAACGGAAACGAAAAATTCAGCAATTTTTGTGTTTATAAAGGGACATAACTCAAGAATGGTAAAAGTGTCGCCACCAAATTTCGTACTTAATCTGTATTATGTAGTAGTAAGCATTGTGTATAAGTTTCATAACATTTGGTTGAGGCAAACTAAAGTTAGAAAACGGAAACAAAAAATTTGTACTTGATCTTAGTTTTGTGGTAATGAATATTGAGTATAGGTTTCATAATGTTTGGTTGGGGCAAACTTAAGTAACAGAATGGAAACTAAAAATTTTGCAATCTTCCAATTTATAAAGGGGCATAACTCAATAATGGTTAAAGTGACACTACCCAAATTAAACTTGATCTGTGTCTTATCAGTGGAAGTCAAAATTAGAAATTGCATTGTATAAAGCATTGATTGTAGTTGATATTTAGCATGTTTAGAAGAAAATAAAAATTTTGCAATTTTTCCATTTATAAAGGGGCATAACTCTAGAACTGTGAAAGTGATGCCACCAAAAATTCAAACTTGATCTGTGTTTTGTGGTAATAAGCATTGTGTATAAGTTTCATAACATTTGGTTGAGGCAAACTTAAGTTAGAGAACAGACACTAAAAATTTTGCAATTTTTCCATTTATAAAGGGGCATTACTCTAGATTGGTTATAGCAACGCCACCAAAATTCAAATTTGACCTGTGTTTTGTGGTAATAAGCATTGTGTATAAGTTTCATAACATTTGGTTGAGGCAAACTCAAGTTAGAGAACGGAAACCAATTTTTGGACGTATGTACAGAGGGACAAGGGTAAAACTTAATGCCCCCACCGCTACGGCGGGGGCATAAAAATATTTTTTTTGGAGCTTGAAAATCATGATTGTTGTTTCTGTTCTTAACATTCAAATGTTATTCAATTTCTAATTCATGTTATTAGGCTTTGGGCATACCTCATGAAGATAAATCCAGAAAAGTGTTTCAGGTACATAAAATTATTTAATATGTTACTGTTATTTAGATTTTTTGTTATACATTGTAATTTCAAAAAAGGTATTTGTGAATTGAATGCTTCTTTTTGTAAATTCATTGGGGTGTAAAAGCGTTGACCGAAGTACATTTTGTATGAAGCGTGGAAGAGCTTCATTCTAAAAATGTGCGCACGGTCAACGCTTTTACAACCCTTTGAAATAACAAAAAGAAGCATTCAATACTTATAATTACATTTTTTAGCTAGGATTATGAAAACACGATTTCTTTCAAGTTTTTCTTTAATTTACCTGTGCACTTTATTGTGGGACCTTGTGTCATCATCACATGATCATGAATGTTACATTTCATTGTGTAATGAATGTCAATTTCAGAAGGACGCGAGATTACTGTTAGCCAATCAAACTAACGTATCATAATGAAACATACATATTATCATGATTATCTTTCATTTTATTTTTGAATTTTAACACTAACCATGCTGACCATGCTAACCATGATTTTACAATTTTAACACACAAAACCTTTAACTTTTTAAATAGGGTGTGAACGTGAAAGAGAGCGAACTGGAAAGGGAGCCACCATGTTGTGCGTTTACTTTTCTACATTGGCTAGAGGTATAGGGGGAGGGTTAAGATCTCATAAACATGTTTAACCCCGCCGCATTTTTGCGCCTGTCCCAAGTCAGGAGCCTCTAGCCTTTGTCAGTCTTGTATTATTTTTAATTTTAGTTTCTTGTGTACAATTTGGAGTTTAGTATGGCGTTCATTATCACTGAACTAGTATATATATTTGTTTAGGGGCCAGCTGAAGGACGCCTCCGGGTGCGGGAATTTCTCGCTGCATTGAAGACCTGTTGGTGACCTTCTGCTGTTGTCTGTTCTATGGTCGGGTTGTTGTCTCTTTGACACATTCCCCATTTCCATTCTCAATTTTATGCAATGTTATTATAAACATGTATACATAATATACATTAGGCAGTGCTCCAGATTGAAATTTAAAGGGGCAGGGTGCCAGTGGAGGGTTTTGCTTAAACAGCTTCAATGTCAATGAATGCCATAGTGTCACCTTTCTTTTACAAGTTGTTACAAGTCTTAGATGTACATGTATGAACTTGGCCTTTGATCATCATGACAATATTCATTTTTCATTTCGTCAATATAATTCTCAAAACACTAAACATGCTAAAAGAAAACTGTTTCTGTTTTCCAACATGTAACTTGATTTTAAAACAATAAAATCATATTATCATGATTATCTTTCATTTTATTTTTGAATTTTAACACTAACCATGCTGACCATGCTAACCATGATTTTACAATTTTAACACACAAAACCTTTAACTTTTAAATAGGGTGTGAACGTGAAAGAGAGCGAACTGGAAAGGGAGCCACCATGATTTATGGCGAACAAACCCTGATTCTGGGGAGCACTACATGTAGCTAAGATTACGGACGAAATGACAGAAACCCAGCTGCATATATTTCTAAATCCCAGACAAATATAAAAGTTGGCATAGGGTCTTATAATACCTTTCACGAGCATTGCGTTGTTTAGTACTAGTAATTCTTTCAACAAAATTATCAATCCATAAATCTGTTTCAATCTGCTTGAGGTCATGGAGGTCTTCATCAGTAACTTCATCAATGTGATGACAGTCGATATTAAATACATCATGTACTGCATATTTGTAACAATCACATTTTTGTTCGTCTTCTTCACTGCGTGATCCAAAATTGCTTACAACGTTTGCACATTTATTTTTATTGTTTATGAAATATAAATAGCCATTTGTGAATACTTCGTATGCACCCATCAGTTCATTCGATGGTACGGATATGTCCGTTTCGATATGAAAGTTTGATAGACATTGTAGTGTCCATTCAGAAGTATTTTTGCTTATGCTACATTGGTGACATTCTGTGGAAATGCCATCAGAATTATCACTGTCCGTCCTGTTGCCTCTACGCTTTTTGATATTTTCAGTTCTGTTGTCGGAGGGGGTGTCAGTTTCTGAGCCACCGTGACTTCTCTTAGTGTGAAGATCAATTTGCTTAGAGGAAGTGTCAGGGCTGCATTTAGTTGAAACACACGACTTGGTTGGAACAGATGCCATGTTATTGTTTTTCTTTGACCGGAAGCAAGACAACTCACCCCCATTACCAAATCGCCCCAGAAAAAGTCGCCCCATTTTCTACAACCTCGCCAAACTTTCCTTCCTTTTTGTAAATACCTTCTTGGAAACAAGAATACCTAATCAAATATACGTGGAAGATTTTACTAGTTAGACTTTTGGCTGAAAATAAAGAGGGGTTCATTGATTCATCATTATTTATTGTTGAAAACTCAAACGGTTTTAAATTCCGGAAAATGTACATTTCCTACGTATTTGGTTGAAGCGGTTAGTTTGCTGATCAACATTTTTTTTATTTCCACCTGTACGGCCAGTAAGGGGAAAGAACTCATTAATCTAATGCAAACATGGCGGCGATCCGGGGAAGATCTAGTTTTGTGTTTACAAAAAGGTTGGTTATGCAGATCGTATGAAGAAGAATGACTTGTTACTTTGCCATAATTTATTTTAGATCATGATCTTTCGATTTATCTATATGCCTATTATAATCACACGGTGCAAATATGTTAAATCTGACTGCAAAAAAGTTGTGCTATTGAAAAATGTTAAAATTGAAATCCCAAGATAATGGGGATTTCAACTTTTTCAATTTTCTGGCGTATAAAAGATATACTTTCATATTTTTTTAAGTTATAACTTAAAATATAATTGATATATTATTGTTACTTGATGTTATATGTTGAAAAAGTAAGATCGGTAAACAAAATAACGAGTTTTCAGTTGCACATGTTGCCGCGATGATATGTTGTTATTTTATTGATATGCTAATGAAACACAACGTCAATAATTGTTTACCACCCAGTACATGTCCAACTCTAGAAATAGTCCCTAATTCTGAAAAGGATGTTCAGAAGCAAAAGTGATTTGCAATTTACAACCATAAAGTCCATATGTAATGCAATAATTAGTGTTTAACATGCATGATGTACAAAACAATATACATGTTCAGCTTGGATGTTGAGTTATGCAGTGTGTCTGGTAGTTATCTGAAGGTATAATCCATAGCCAAGGTCAGCTGCCTTGGCTATCATATATGTGTCCATCTTCTTCTTCTTTTAGTTTCCGCACTCCATCATAATATTGATGACTATGTGCCGTACGTCTGATCATCTATCCCACATTTATATGTACATGTAGGGCCTAGATGTCATTTAGTTGTGTCATATGGTTGCTGTCTCATCATACATTGATATATACCCTGGCTGTATCTTTTTTATTCACATTACCACAATAGAAAAGCTCATATATTACATGTATATGTCTGCACCAAAATCTTTTCCAACTACTAGTCCGAAGGCAAATATTCAGACATTTTCCTTGTGTGTCTAAAGTTGAACAAAGTTTTGCGAAAATTAACTAGTCCAAATAAAATTTTACTAGTCTGGGGAATTGGATTAGTGGCTAACAGTGCAGGCTGCTTCTACATTTACACAAACATGTATATATACAGTTTGTATATGTACAATGTACATGAACTACCTCAGATGTCTTGTAGTAATGTCAGGTACAAAATGTTACTAAACTGTAGTGTGCAGGCATGAATCATGGGAAGTTATAAGTTGGATCTGGGGCCAAGTCAATCTATTGACTTGAAAAATGGTTTTGCTGCTTCTCTGCTAAGCACCCTCTGCTTTGAGGGGTAACTAGAGTAAATACTTGGTCAGCTGAGGACAATAATTAAACTGATGCAGATCCTAGAGTTGAAAACACCCAAAGCTAGATAATGTTTGGAGTGAAACAAGTCTGTATCATATATATTAATTAACCATAAATGTCAATGAATGTAGCTCCATTGGGGGCGGGGAGCAAAATCCATCTCTGTGAAATGTCTGATACCTTAAGCCGCTCATGTCTTCCTGTAGAATGTTTACAGTAGAAATGGCATGTTAAAAAGCTGACTAAGTGGCTAAAGTGCGTCTGTCTAGCACAAAGCAGTGTTCATACTCACATTACATAACATGTAAAGTTTGCCATTGAATTTTACAGGGTTGGCAAATTATTATAAACCTGGTTTTCTAAGGTTAGGCAATACCCCCAGAAGTTGGTGATAAATGCATGTTGTACAGGGTAATGTGGTTGTTGTTTTCTTGACCCATGCTGGATGGGGGATATAGAATATTTTGTACCTTGCGTCCATCTGATGGTAGGTATACATTGTACATTTTTTGGTGTCAGAAGTTATTAAAATCATTATCAAAGGTTAATACCAGCAAGGTCTTGGAACTGTGCTGTCAAATTGTTTTTACAGGAGTTATGGATAATGCTGCTTGTTAATAGATATTATAGGGAAATTACATTGTTAGGGATTTCTTGACTACATTTTGTAAGATATTTAATACATAGAAGTATATAAGAACCCAACAAATTTTTCTCAAGTAATATATAATTGTCCTTGGACAGATAAAATATGTGCCACATTGGAAACTATCTGTCAATATTGTCATGTTTTATTTAATTTTAATTTTACACAGAACAGTTCAAACACATTGTAGTTTCATAATACCATTGCCATATATAAACATTTTACACAGAAAAACCCTGAGTTATTTTAAGAGGAGAAAAAAAAATCAATTTCTTCAATTTCTCAAACAATTTCATATACTAAATGCACAGAACAAGTATTGTATAAAATAAGGATATATGTGGTATGATTGCCAATGAGACAACTATCCAACAGAGTTTAAATGACAGGATTAAAGCAACTATAAGTCAACAAATGGTCTTCAACAATGAGTAAAACCCATACCTTATACAAGACCCTGACATAACAGAATGGATGAAAGAACATTATTTGAACAAAAAACTTTTTTCCAGTTCAAAGAATATTACTGGTAGTGTAATATTTCCATTTTTTTTTTTTTTACAGATTGTTTGTTCACTGTTGGTCACTTAAGTGGGAAAACTGATTGGATAAAGATATTAAACAGTCTTTATAGTACTGGTGAAATAGGTGAGTTTTCACAGTGGTAAATTTGTTTGTTCTTTTTGAATAGGGGACATTTCAATAGTAAAATTAAATCGGTATTAATATTTTGCATTGTAATTGGCCACTGAACCATTTGTAGTTAAATTAAAATAAAGTTTTTATGTTTTGATTTTGATAAAACAGTTTACCTTTTACTGCTATAAAATGTTTTATTCTTTATTTCATCTCTCAATTTCAATTTTTGCAGGAAACTCATCTGATTGTGGAAGTTTGTGTAGTGGAAAGAAGGAGTTACATACAGATGCTGTTTTGAATCATAAGAAATGACTGATATTAATTCATTTCTTCAATTCCTCATTAGCTTCTTCACAAGGAATAAATTGTGTAAGGAGTTCTATATTCCTATTTAAAGACCTAACTTTTTTTTTCCATTTGAGTGTATGAAAGCAAATTAATTGAATTCATTCTGAAAACTAAGCTTAAATAGTTTTATGTACATGTATATGTGACTTTATCTTTACTTGACTTTTTATTAATAAGTTATTTAAACATTAATAATTTTATTCTTTGTATGAGAAGCTATAATCAATCGACTATATATGTTTTTCTCGCCTGCGATGAAAGTCCGGGAAAGTGAGACATAAGGGTTCCTTTTCTGGCGATGATGGCTCTGGCATCAACAATTGTTAAGTTTTTTGCTTAAGTTAGTAAGTTTGACAGGTATTACTTGTGATAGATCATTGATATTTAATTTAAAGTTGTATTACTATCAGTACATATCAGTTTGACAACTATTTTGAGGACCTGTCCCTAGGATATGGTGCAGTGACTTGGATTTAGAGATTTTCAATATTAATAGAAAAACAAATGATATGAAGTATCCATCCATGACACAAAATCAGTAAATGCACAACAAAAAAGCAAAGGAACAGTGCTTTTATTGCTGTTCTTCATCTCAAAGTCACAGTGAGACCTCAACTCGGAGCAAAAAAACTCTCACTTTACTGCAAGTTGAAGACAGCCCCTTTGCAAAAATAATTTGGATAGACTTTGTAAGATGTAACACCACTCAATTGGGTTAAGTCGAAAAAGAACATACTGGAAAGTAGTACATATTTAAAACAAAAAAAATTTACTGCTTAAGCTAGTTTGATAGGATCTAATTCTGACACATACATTACAATATATCCAAAAATAAAGTAATTGTCTGATACAGAAGTTTTATATGTTTTAAATAATAATGCTGTTTTTGCCTTCTTTGTTTTTATTCCCTTTGAAAATATATCATTTTGTCCAACAAATTTTTAAAAAATCTGCATTAAGGCTTTGTAATATTGCAAATATTTGACCTGATAACAATTTAGACTGTTGGAATCATCATTGGCATCATAATGATATCAAGTTTGACCTGACATGAGGAAGGCAAGTGTCATAAACTTATGAAACAATAAAATTGAGAATGGAAATGGGGAATATGTCAAAGAGACAACAACCCGACCAAAGAGCAGACAACAACCGAAAGCCACCTATGAAACAAGTTTGTTTTGGATCAAGAAAATACTCAAATTAATACAATAAACAATGTATACATTGACATATACACACATTAAAAATAGATGAGTTGTGAGAGAATCCTTTTTTTTAAGCTAATCTGGCAAAAGTGACTAATTGTGTCTTCATACTCAGTTCATTGTTTGTCATCTGTAAACCTTTTAGCTCACATCCCCATAAAGCCACTGAACTACTGTATAAACTTACTTGTTGTCCATTGTAAACTTTTTACCAAACTTGAGGTGAATGGTTCTTATGGTGTCTAGTATAAACTTTGTTGATTTTTATTCTGGTCAGTCTGTACACAGCAAACACTTTTGGATGAGTCTTTAAGGAAATATTACCCTTTAATAGTGATTTAATCAATTTTTGCATTTTGGGCAAATTCAATAGTAGTTTAAAAGAGAAACTGTAACCAGCCAAAATGATCAGCAATATGCATTGATTAACAAATAAGAAATGAGTGCTGAATTAGAATGGGGTCTATAATGTAAGAGAGTGGTCATTTTTGAAGATGCAAATACATTTTTGTTTCGCCTTGACGGAGTCAAAAAGCGAGACATAGGTATGCTGTTTCCGGCGTCAGCGGCGGCGGCGTCAACAATGTATTAGTTTGTGATTAGGTCTAGTTCATGGTGAACCACTAGTGGTAGGTCAATGATATTTGGTATGCAGTTGTATTAGCATTGGCACATCTCATTACCATGGAGATTATTTGGCCCCGCCCCCTCAGTCAAGGTCTATTGACTTTGAAACTTTTCATAGTTTACATGTATTAGTTTGTGATTAGGTCAATTTATGGGGAACCACTAGTGGTAGGTCAATGA